TAATAGGTTAATTACTTCCAGGTTCCACAATTACAACCTGGGACATCAACTAGAACATTCCTTCCTATGGTTTTGTTCCAGAACATGTCCCAAGGTCCTCCTAGCTCACTTCTGCAGGTTGCTGTAAAAAACAACCAGCAACCCGTGTGGTATTTTAACGATAAATTCTCATTCCATGTCCTTTTTACCGAGGATGGTAAAATGGAACGTTCTACTTTCTTGGAGGTATACCTTTTCATTGTTCTGATTCTTTTACACTATAATAAACTTATGATCTCTGTACATAATACGAAACTTTATCAAATTCTATAACTTTGTCACTTGTTAAGCTGATCACTATCTGTGTTACAGACTTGGAGGTCCCTTCCTGATTCAAACGAGGTTTCGAGGGACTTCCCAGACATTGTGGTTGGCGGTGTGGACGTGACCTTGGACCTGCTCGCTGCATCAAACGTGTTCTTTATTGCAAAACGCAAGAATGCCAACCAAGATGTGTTTTACTTCTCAGCTAAGATCCCTCGAGGGACACCGTTATTAGTTGAGCTTACCACAGTGGTCGGAAACCCTGGTGTCAAATGCGCAATCAAGACACCAAGCCCTGAAATGTCGACATTTTTCTTCGAAGCCATCGAAACTCTTCTCAGGAGCTAATATCATTATCATCGTCATTTCTTGTGTCATCAATTTTTTATTAATTTTGCTCATACATTGTTTTTGCTAGCATCTTTAATAGATATTCTGGACAGGGGTTGTAAATTCGAAAAAAATTACCCACTGATGCATAGCTGTGGCCATGTGGACAATGTCTGTTGAGAGGTTTGGATGGTTTGTAATATTGTGATTTGTTTGTAAAAACTATGATTACTAGATGCTATTAACATTTTTGTATTAGCGAGTGCAAGTTCTCTTACCAGCAAAGTTTCTTAAATTACATTCATCTCCATTTTTATTTTAAAATATATACTCCTCTCTCTCCCCTCCTATATGAATGTAAGTTATATTTTAATAATTTTCAATTAAAATAAATATCTTAACAGTGGTAAATAATTATTAAATATCTTCCAATGATATTTAAGCTTCTATTAAAGCTTCCAATATTCTACATAGTTTATTATTGATTTTAGTATTTTTAGAGAGTAAAGTGAGATTTGAATTGTTTTTATTATCAGCTCTAAAATTTTATATGGATTTATTTATATAATCCTTTTTTTATGATGTCAGATAGTTGTCAATAAATTAAATTTGAATGCTAATACCTGAAGAGATTTTTCATGTAAATACTCTATTAAAATGAACTTAAATAGATAAAATTACTCTTTTTTTCTTTATAATAAAATTTATCTTTTAGTTTTTGTGACATCCCGATTATATAGAAAAACATATATAATAAAGACGTCATCATGCATAATATAGGAAAACAGTCAAGAGTTAGGATTACAGTCATCCTCAAAATAGTTTCAGAATTGAAACTTTAACAAAAGAGAAAGAGGTCCAAACTCTAAACTTAAAGATGAAAAATATTTCAAAATATCATCAAATGACTAAGAAATTACTAGGAAGCCTAAACTGCAACATTGTCGTCTTCTTCCAAAGTTGTCTCCAAGGAAACCTCCTCGCCATCTGCTCCCATCCAAGTAGATGATCATCGCAAAAGGAATCATACACAAACAAGCAAGGGTGAGCTAGGTATAAAAAGCATGTTATACAGTCACACACATAGTATGCATAGTTCACTCAAAACATGGTAAATGACATTACAAGACTTTGTTGCATTATAAACCGACTCATCCGGACTAAAATGATTGCCGAACTATGACAGGTTATGCACTCGTGGTAACCTCTTCTGCTTTGCAAAGTCGTTGCCAATGGGTTCCACCCTACCACACTCACTATGTTATTCTGTTTCGCTCCCTTGAGCATACTGGAAGCCTCCAAGACTAGGACCTCTTGCTACTACTCACCACATGATTCAATCCTTTCTATTTGAGAATGATTGATCATTGTAGTTTCAGAAAAATCCCCAAGACTGAGCTACCATGCAATCATTCTACACACTACTAGGGCACCACCATGTATCCTCTCCTTGAGGATCATGGAATTACGTCCATGAACCATACTTGTTACACTTACGCCAATCACAACTTTGTTTCATACATACTTCCAAACTATAATTCACACACAATACAACATACCCTCAAACATGTTGCAAAATCAAGCCACCCAAATCAGTTATATAGACATACATACACCTTGGCAATCAAACAACATCAAACAGATGAGGAAAAATATGAAACTCACTGAACCAGGTCGCACAGCGCACCATGGTGCAAGGCAAGACAACAAAAATTCGCACAGTGCACCACCCTTTGTGCGCTGAGCGAATTTTCCTAACGGGGGGGAGAGCTTTTCAGCTAAAATTCGCATAGCGCACCACCCTTGGTGCGCTGAGCGAATTTTCCTAACGGGGGAAAGCTTTTCTGCAGAACAAAATTCTGAAAATTTCAAGCACTCAACACCCTAGAACTCGTTCTAGACCTCTTCCTTAACTTCTAATGATCCTAGATCGTAGTATAAGCCTAATTAAACTTGTCTATTTGATTATAAACATTATTAACATGATTCTAAAGTGATCAATATCCAACTTTTAGCTTAAAACTCCGATTTCATTAACCCAAGAACCCAATTTCAATTCTACCATTTTGAACATGACTTTACTCAGTTTTATGACCATAACCAGTTCTAATTGACTCATCCAAGCTAGTCAAACTGCCCAATTGCACTCAAGACCACCTATGCTCAAATTTACTACCTCAGTTCCTCTCAAAAGACCTAAAACAGTACTTCAGTAACTGTTTACTCATCTAACAAGGCTAACACATGATTTTCACCTCAAACACTCCTTGCTAACCCAATTGGTCATCAGAGAAGAATCCAACGTCTGAACGCATCAGACTCACGGTCGACGCCAGCACATATGACTAGTCACAACTGGATCAGATCAAAGCTGCTCTATGATTAGGGATGTGCCAACTCAGGTTTTTAGGATTCCTCTATCCTACCAACAAAGTACTCTCAACAAGTCATAATTGATTTATCTAAGTAACCCAAATTGTCCTATGGTATTCTAGACTCCAATTACCCAATTTCAATACCTCACTTCCCCTCACAGTAACCTAAAACAGTACATGTGTACCTACTTACTATCCATATTAACGATATTACAGAATTCTTACNCGATTTCATTAACCCAAGAACCCAATTTCAATTCTACCATTTTGAACATGACTTTACTCAGTTTTATGACCATAACCAGTTCTAATTGACTCATCCAAGCTAGTCAAACTGCCCAATTGCACTCAAGACCACCTATGCTCAAATTTACTACCTCAGTTCCTCTCAAAAGACCTAAAACAGTACTTCAGTAACTGTTTACTCATCTAACAAGGCTAACACATGATTTTCACCTCAAACACTCCTTGCTAACCCAATTGGTCATCAGAGAAGAATCCAACGTCTGAACGCATCAGACTCACGGTCGACGCCAGCACATATGACTAGTCACAACTGGATCAGATCAAAGCTGCTCTATGATTAGGGATGTGCCAACTCAGGTTTTTAGGATTCCTCTATCCTACCAACAAAGTACTCTCAACAAGTCATAATTGATTTATCTAAGTAACCCAAATTGTCCTATGGTATTCTAGACTCCAATTACCCAATTTCAATACCTCACTTCCCCTCACAGTAACCTAAAACAGTACATGTGTACCTACTTACTATCCATATTAACGATATTACAGAATTCTTACTCCAAACCTCTTTAACAAAATCAAGTACAGCCAACAAACTCATCCAAGTCAAATAATAATCAGCGCACCATTGTTACACAAATTTCACATTATCAACAAATGCAATTCAACATGCTCACCACCAAAATATAGTATAACAGTAAGACAATTCACTATTTATCAAACATGCACGTCATACAGCTCTTAAAAAAAATATAACTAGCTCCCCTTACCTGGGTTTCTCCAAGCACAACTAATTGAAACTGCCCTAACAGTACACTTCACAGCACGAGAACTCAACCTGGCCCTACAAACCACCAAAGTGGTGACATCAACAACTCTTAGAGCTTGATTTGACAGAAAATATGAAGACGAAACCCCACTAGCAACATGCAACTAGTAACGTTGCATGCCCTAGGCTCCAGAAACAGCGAAGGAAAGGGGAAAAATCACTTACCGGTCCAATCAAAAATATGATCGGGTCAAAAAGAAACCTTCGGTGTGGTGAACGCCCGAGCACCTTCAAATCCAAGATTGAATGGTTCAGTGAATGGAAATTTTTAGAGAGAAGACAGAGAGAATTTAGAGCAAAAGAGTTTTAGAGAGAGCTCAAGCAACTGAATCAAACTTCTGAAAAGTCTTTCCTAAGACTAAGTTGTCACTGATTTGATGGGTATGTCTATCTGACATAAGGCCCAATTTTTTACAGGCCCTCACAATTTTTGCACTTACAAATTTTCCTTTAATCTTTATACATGTTGTTTTTAGTCCTTTAAGTTCCTTTGATTTTAAATAGCAGAAACTACAATATAATTAAAATAATATCTATAGAGATTAAATACTTGGAGCTGAATCTCCATTTGTTTTTGCAAATACGATTGATATCAGTTATATAAAAGACACAACTTGTGTTGGTCTGGTCGCGCTCTAATACCGGCAAGGATGATTATCTGTGCAAGATAGAGTTTCTATTTTTTTTTCTTTCAAGAAATCAAATATTTATACTAGTTTCTTATGTATTTCTTCTTCTTAAATTAAAAATTATATACATTTGATTAAAAAAAGTGACTTTTGATGCTTGATAAAATTAACATGCGCTCGGCGTTGTTACTTACACATTCCCTTTATAGAACCGTGTCGAATTCATTAAATATTAAATTAGATATTATAAAATATGACTTGTGGCGTCGATTTTGCCAAGTATAGAACATTTTTTAATGACCCCAAGGATAACGTGTGTTACGATAACGAATGTACACTACTGCGAAGTGTGCATAGAGAAAGAAGAGAAAACTGAATTCCATGCCGCCACTTTCATTAACTCTGAATTTGAAATGGACGCCGTTGAATTTGAAGGCCACCGCCACCGCCACCTCCACCAACAAAGTCACCGAAGTGCCGCTGCCGGAGAAAATCCGCAACTCGAGAATTCTCGTCCTCGGTGGAACAGGTCGCGTCGGAGGATCCACCGCCATTGCGCTCTCAAACTTCTGTCCCGACCTTCAAATCCTCGTCGCCGGTCGAAACAGGTCAGTCACGGTTCCCGTGCGTCACACGCACCACCGCTAAATCGTGTTAGCCTGTAGTTCTAATTCGTGTGTTTGCATGGCACGTGTGGCAGGGAGAAAGGTGAGGCTCTCACCGCTAAACTTGGAGGAAATGCAGAGTTTGCTCGTGTTGATATCGACGACGTGAATTCACTGGAAACTGCGTTGAAGAGTAAATTGTTCTCGCTCGCTACCGATTCCCGTTCAGTGTCTTGAGAGCTATAAATTGAAATCGATTTTGAATGTTGTAATTGTAAATGAATCTGTGCAGGTGTAGATCTCGTAATTCATGCTGCTGGTCCCTTCCAACGTGCAGAAAGGTGTACCGTGCTTGAAGCTGCAATAAATACTAAGGTAGCTTCTATTTGCTATCATAGTTTCTGAATTGTTATCTTCAGAGTTCTGTGCTGCTGTTCGTGCATCTTAGCGTATAGACATTTAAAAAATTTAGCTGTATGTTTCTTGCCGCAGACTGCGTATATTGATGTTTGTGATGACACGAGCTACGCATGGCGTGCAAAATCCTTGATGAAAAGGGCGTTGGATGCAAATGTTCCGGCCATAACAACTACAGGAATATACCCTGGAGTTAGCAATGGTGCTTACCTACCTGTCAGCAGTGTTGTTATGTTTCCAAATCAGGACCAGAAAATAATATGAAAATTGTTCATCACCAATTTATATTAAATTAACGTGGTTAGCACTTGATTATCGAAAGTAAACACTTCTATAAGAGAAAATTAGAAGAAAAAAGTAAACGAGTTTCTTCTTAAATTTAAATTAGCTTAAATATGAGTTAAAATTAATAATTTTGAAAAATTATGAGTGTTTCTGTTACGAAACTAATTATTGTATGAACTAATTTTGGCTTATGCTGAAGCTTGTTTATTTTTTTCCCTATTGTTTTAGATGGAGAAGTTTATTCAAAGATGCCCACAAATTGCTGATTTTAGTTTCATTTTTATTTGTACTCAACTGTGTGAGATAAAATATGCATTTGCAACTTTGCTTGACCAACTTTGCTTGACAGCAATATTCTTTGTTAATTATATTGGCGTTGGGGGTAGATCGTGATTTATGGTAAATGACAATCTTGTTTCCTCTGCTGTATTATGGTTGCTAAAACTTCCTATAATTGTACAGTCATGGCAGCAGAGCTAGTCCGTGCAGCAAATGAAAGTAAAGATAAGCCAGAGAGGCTAAGGTTGGTCGATCTTCTTATATAGTTCTAAATTTATGATTTATTATTTTAAAGGCAAAGTATTTTGGTTGATATGTGAATTCTCATCATATGTTGAATTCCTTGATATGTTATGCCTAGACATGTCAGATAATTGATAATGAAATGAAACATACTGCGCATCAAATACATCCATAAAGTCGTATGTTATCAAATTATTTACATTCTGGTATGTAGGGAATAAGTTCTTTTACTAATTTAGTGCATATTTTCTCCTATTATCTGCTGAGGTGTAATAAGCACAGCCTGAAATATGGCAAAAATAAAGAATCCAAAAATGGCAAGAAGAATATTCTTGTTTGTTTATTTTTTGAGCTTCATGTTGATTCAGCACTTATAAGGTTCTATGTCAACTCAGATTCTACTACTACACAGCTGGAACTGGTGGTGCTGGTCCAACCATATTGGCTACAAGCTTCTTGCTGTTGGGAGAGGAAGTAGTTGCGTATAACAAAGGTTGTTCTCTAAAGAACTTGATCTAGTTGTTTATTTTATCTAGATTAAATTACCATTTTGTTTGTAGGATTAAATGATGATGCTGGAATGTTCAACTAGGAGAGAAGATCAGAATGAAGCCATATAGTGCAATGCTCAACATTGACTTTGGAAAAGGAATTGGCAAACGAGATGTTTATCTATTGTAAGTTTGATGATATATAAAAAGCATTGGAACTCAGAATACCCACTGTAGGAAACGAAAGTCATACTGTTTCATGATCAGTCCTGTATGATAGATTGTCTACAACAAATTGATTTATTACCCCTATATATTTGCTTTCTTCAGAAATTAGGATTCCACCTCAATACATGGTTTTCAGGAATTTACCGGAGGTTAGCAGTGCTCATGAGATTTTAGGAGTGCCAACTGTAAGTGCTCGATTTGGAACAGCGCCATTTTTCTGGAATTGGGGAATGGAAGCTATGACAACACTTCTTCCTTCGGTATGCTCTTGATTGACTTGGACTGACATAGTTGTAGATAAGTCTAATTGATAACAATATGCATGAACATATTCTGTGCATGTAATATTGAAAATATACGTTACTACCTCTATAATGAAATGGAACTGGAAATTGTGATGCCTCAGTTAAGAAGTATTTCCTTTAAACTTATTGTGAGCCCGGAATGTCCTGAAGCCTAATGTTATGATGCAAACAAGGAGGATAACAACGACAATAGGTAGTTTTGTAGGTTATTTGACCATTATACTAACCTTGGTTGATACTTAGAAGCTTGGTTCAATTTATATGCGCTTCAATCAGCTACATCCTTTGGTAATGCACTATGTAATTTTTGAGCCTATGCTATGTAATTGTTCTTTTAAGTTATTTCATTTTAAAAAGTTGAATTTGTGCAATCTAAATTCTTTGACAATGAAATCTAGGGAACCATAGTTTGAAATGTCAATTTGCAAAAATGGAACTCAGTTGCTATTTCAACTCCCTACCATCAGTAACTTATATTATCATGGAAATAAATCATTTACATTATATTTATAGTCTACTTTCACGGTCGTATCTGTTTATTTTGATAATATTATGTTAATAGCAATGAAGTTCATGTAGTTACACGGAATAGAGCTGTATAAACTTGATCAACCTGTGATTTTTTCTTTCGACACTGAACTATAATTTTGTTTCAAAAAGCATGTTTCGAAACAATGTGATAGTTATTTGAACTGAATCCGTATTATTTACTCTAGGAGTTTCAATATCAATGAGATAGCGGTCCAGAAAAAGTGTGCTAACTGCAAACTCACGAAAAGAAAAGATAGAGGTGAAAAAAGAAGAGACACTGCAGGATCTTCGAGTGTTCTGCAAGAAAAAGTGTCCCAACCTTTTCCTGTACTTTTTTCTCTTTCATCTATTCCCACCATCAGGTTGTTACAATCCACCCTCACTGTGCTCTAATCACACTGCCACACTAGTCACAACAACTTCTATCCAATTCTGTCATTCCCCTTCCTTGATACTCTGCACCTTAGTGCAAGATGTTCTATCAAAATGCGATTGGGATAATTATATACCAGATTTCCTTTTCCTAAAATTAATAAATCTGAAGTTATTTTTATTTGGTTCATTGTGTGTAGGAAACTGTTGAACTTTAGCTTTGATGTTTGTTAAAAGCCATAATCCGCCAACGTGATGTTTGATTATTTTGACTTTCTTTGCTTTAAAGCAAGAGGGAGGAACTTTTTCAATTTTATTTCGTTTGATTAAAAAATTTAGAGGGCTAAAATTCCTCCTCTCTAATTTTTGCCTCCCTTGAATAGTAAGTGGGGGGATTTGAACAGTGTAATAAATTGTCCCAACAAATTATTTCATCTTTTATATTTACCATTACTACATGAATAAAAAAAAAGTTCCCCATTACTACTTAATGGTATTTATACGGCCTAACTCTAAATTATCCATATTTTCCCTCCTCAATCAAACAAAATCACATTTGGCTTTCATCCTTTCCCTTTTCCTGAACCAAACGAAATAAGAAGACCTCTATTTCTCTCCTCTCCCCTCCCTTCACCACTATTAAAATCGCTCTGCGCCCCATCTCTAATTTGAACCAAGAGCTACGAAAAAACATAATAGCAAGCTGTGGAAACATAAAAACAAAAATAGGAAGAGGTATGTAACGAGAAAACATAACATGAAAATCGAAATGAAGATTATGTTGTTGATTAATCTGATAGTGACGTGTGATTAAACATGCAGGAATTTCTGAGAGACAGAAATAAAGTACAAAGCTTGGTTCAGTTGTTTGATCCTTTTGTAAGAGCATTGGATGGGATTGCTGGAGAACGCGTATCAATGAGGGTGAGGGGAATGCGAAGGGTTAACCTATTACCCGTTTAACCATCTTTTTCTTCAATAAATTACGTAGTTGTTTGTTATAATTTATATTATTAGTAAACTGCGAATATAAACTACTAATTTACTTTACCCCTTCCCTCCCAATGGACAGGTTGATTTGGAGTGCGCAAGTGGACGCCATACTGTTGGTATATTCAGTCACAGGAGACTTTCGGTGTAAGTTTTCCTTTTCTCTAATTTTTTTGGGAAACTTTGTGCAAAGTTTTAACTATGCTTACATTAAGCTAGTTTCTGTTACTTTTTTTTGTATTATGTCAATATATTTAAGGGATGATTTTTGAAATATTTCTGCTACAAGCTTTTTATGACTTTTGCTTTTCCTATATAGGTGAAGTATATAATATCTAACCTACACCTTCATTAAAAAGAACATAATGCAAGAAAAACAGGTTTTACAATGTCAAGAAGGAAGAATTGTGTTTAACAGTTTTTAATTTCATCAATAGAGTCTTAGAAAATTTTCTTTGAAACATTTTATTAAAGTATTAAAATAAAGAAATCAAGTTCACTTATTGTCCAAGAAAATACAAAGAACACAAAATAAAAAAATGATAAAGAAAAAAGGACAGGAAATTTTATATTGCTCTGAGTGAGATTGTCATATTATCAATGGAGTTTTCTCTTTTTTTTTCTATACTTTTTCTTTCCATTTTATACGTCCAGAGTGGAGAAAGGGTTCATGTGAAAACTCCGGATACTTTAAGTGTTTGGTCATCACCAAAACATCAATCCCTATAATTGTAAAAGAAAATCTTCAAGAACCTTGATCAAAACAAAAGTCATGAAAACAAAATATAATATCAAATAATTGTATTTTTGTAATTGCTGTTTTAATTATCAATATCTATTACTATTATAAAGGAGAATAAAATGGTATTGAAACCCACATTTGGTTTTCACAATATTTTGGACTTATTCACCCTCCATTATTGTAAATCACCCACTATTGTTGTATTTTGACTTTTTATTTCAGTTATTTCTCTCTCACTAAAGGTAAAATATAACTGCTTATAAACTCACTTGACCAGGCAGTAGTGTTTTTCTTTTCTCTGGTCCTTTAAACTCATTTACTTATAGTCTCTTTAGAAGAGTTTTTCCATAAATTTTTATAGAGAGAAAAATAACAACAAAAAATACAAAACCAATTTTTCAGTAATTTAAAATTAACTTATACACAACTTCAACAAATTAAATAAAAAATATATTCTACAAGTTAGTTTATGCATAAACTAAGTTAATTTATAAAAAAATTAGTTTTTATCATTTTTTTCTTATTTTTCTCTTAGTGGAAAAATTCACCCAAGCGTGTCCTTACGCTACCGATGCGAGGAGGTTGTAGCTTGAGATATAATGGGTACTCTGTATTATATTTTTATTTTGAAAACTTTTATGAACTACTCAGCAGGTTGGATAAATAAATATTCTTTTTTCTAAACGTGCGACAGTACTTGTGCTCTATTTGTTAGGGTGACATGTTATACAAAGATACCAGTGAACACCTTCATTTTGACATTTATTGAGAATGAAAAAAAAAAAGTGATATGATGAGAAAAGAAAACAAGTGTTAATGAGATATTCAGAGTAAAGTTGGTGGATGATGGACAAATTTATGATCACCAAAATATGATGTCACAAACTTGTTTAACAATCGGCAAGTATGACCGAATCGTTTCAAGTAATAAACTCGGTAAGACCAAGTATCGTTCTCCCAAAGGACTCACGGCCTAGTTTAGTTATGTGATTTGTTGATTAGCTAAGACTTTAAGAACAAAATAATTGGAGTTTAATATGCAAAAGATGAAAATAAACATGTATGCATGAGGTTGATCAATGGCTAAAACAAAAGACAAGCACTTTCAATGAAATATATTGATGAATATGTTGTTAGGGGTCAATTTCATCTTATCCACTCTCATATATTTTAGGAATTCAACATTCAAGTCATCATT